TATTCTATTCTATTCTATTCTATTCTATTCTATTCTATTCTATTCTATTCTATTCTATTCTATTCTTCATTGCAATATTCTATTCTATGCTATGCTATTCTTCATTTCATTATTCTATTCTATTCTATTCTATTCTATTCTATTCTATTAAGTTGACCGAGCTTTCATTTTGCATCAGTTCCAAGCCACAAAAATACCCAATGCATTTTAAATATATAGGTAGGTCCTCATCTTATGACCACAATTGAGCTCAAAATTTCTGTTGCTGGGCAAGGCAGTTGTTAAGCAAGTTTTGCTCCATTTTACAACCTTTTTGCCACAGTTGTTAAACGAATCATGTGGCTGTTAAATGAATCATTGGAAGTCAACTGAGAAGTTCACGAATGATGATCACATGACCCTAGGACAGTGCAACAGTCATAAATACATGCCAGTTGCCAAGCGCCCGAATTTTGATCCCATGACTATGCGGATGTTGCGATGGATGTACCTGTGAAAAAATGCTTCTAAGTCACTTTTTTCAGTGCCATTGAAAATTCCAATGGTGTCTAAACGAATGGCTGTGAGTTGAGAACCATCTGTATAGTTTAGTTTAGTTTATTGTCATTGCACCTCGTAAAAGGAAATCAAACACCATCTTCAGTGCACATCATGACTATGAAAATAAACACAAACACACATCATTCACACTCCACACATTGAACTGAAAACTCCTGACCCCACACCAACACTGAATTATAAAGCAGATTTCAAAAAGCTACTGCCCTGGGATAAAAGCTGTTTTTCAGCCTATTTGTCCTTGTTTTTATTATCCTGTACCAGCTGCCAGATGCTAATAGTTAAAAAAAAAGGTGCCCAGGATGAGATGGATCTTTGAGAATGTTTTGAACTTTCTTAAGGCAGCAGGAGCTATAAAGCTCTTCCAGAGAGGGGAGAGGGCAACCAATGATTCTCTGGGCAATGACGTTAACCCTCTGGAGTGCTGTCCTATCTGCCACTGTGCAATTGACAAACCATACAGGTGTGCAGTAAATTAAGATACTCTCTATGGTGCAGCGGTAGAAGGTCACCAGCAGTTCTTCATTCCGTTGTTGCTTTCTGAAAAGTCTCAGGTAGTATAATCTCTGCTGGGCCCTTTTGACCAGGAGTGCAATGTGGGCACCCCAGGTCAGGTCCTCTTTTAGGGTAACACCCAGAAACTTATAACTGGCCACTTGCTCCACTCGGTCTCCATTGATAAGCAAGGGCTGGAGGTCTGATCTGTTCTTCTATAGTCCACTATAAGCTCCTTGGTCTTATTGGTGTTGAGGACCAACTTATTGTCTCCATACCACGAAAGCAACCGGTCCACCTCATCTCGGTAGGCAGATTCATCCCCCTCCAGAGATGAGTCCCACCACTGTTCATCATCTCCAAATTTAGTAATAGTATTACTAACGTGAGTGGGAATGCAGTCATAGCAATCTCAGTCTTGAAGATTCTAACAAGGGATTTATGGAACTGACTAATTTTCTTAAAGCAAAATTTGCTTTTAAAAATACTTTTTGTGGATACTGACATGAGAAGAGTCAAACATTTTATTAATCCAACATATGGACTGTTCTGTTTAGATCTGCCACATTAGTTGCTACAGCTAGTGATTTATGACTCAGTCCGATGTTGGACCGCAGTCTCTGACTTAAGAAAAGGGATAAAAGCCTTAATATCAGATTGATATCTATTTTGCGACTTCTCTGCCACCTGCAAAAGAGGTTCTCTTTCTAGTTTTCTGAGAGAAGTTTGAGAATTCCTCCTCAATTTCTTTTGTATATTACTAGAGTAGTTCAAAAGCTTGTAATTCACCATAACTGTGAGCTACGTTTTGTATATTTGGGTGGGCAGTTCCCTAGGATTTGACAGAAAAGTGATGGGATAAGCGATGCTAAGTCTCAATAAAGGAGAATATTTGCAGTTCAGGGTTGAAACGGTGCTCTCTGAGCTTGCCTGTTTTCTTGCAGATGTTTCATTATCCAACTAGGTAACATTATCAGTGCTAGTAAGGAGCACAATTTGCTGTCGGTTTACATTCTGGCGGCTTGCCTGTCAGTGTTGGTGGGGAAGGTCTTAGAGCTTCTTTGGTTGGACTGTTTAGATTTAGAAAAGTGGTCTGGAAAATGGGTCCAAAACAGGCTGAAAAATCGGCTAAAACGGTAAAAAAAACCAAACGCCCCCCAAATGGGCCACACAGTCCGTTTTCGGCTAGCAGACTGCTGCAGGAGGCCATGGGGGGCAAAAAAAGGGGCAAGGGGGCTGTGCGTGGACTCCTTGTGCCCCGCTTTGGCTGGCAGGGTGCTTCAGGAAGCATCCGTTCTGCCCTCCAACCACTGGCCTGCAGAGGAGAACTACAGTGATGATCCAGCCCTCGAAGAAATCCAGTTTGATACCCCTGTTCTAGCCCAAACCCCTGCACAAGCGGAAGCAGGAAACCCTTCACCACTTCAGACAAATGGTTGTCCAACATCTTCTTAAAAACCTCCAGTGTTGGAGCATTTACAACTTCTGGAGGCAAGTTGTTCCAGTGATTAATTGTTCTCACTGTCATGAAATTTCTCCTTAGTTCCAAGTTGCTTCTCTCCTTGATGAGTTTCCATATGTTGCTTCTTGTGCTGCCTTCAGATGCTAAACAGGGAGACCACCAAAGATGGTCTTCATCTGGTTCTGACCAGTTCTGGAGAACCAGCAGTGGAAAGTTTGAGTAGTTCGGACTACTGGCAAATCCCACCTCTGACTGGCCCTGCCCCCATCTATTCTCTGCCTCCCATTGAGTCCCAGCTGATTGGCTGGGTCTTCCTTTGTTGCCCTGCACAGAAGAATGGAGCTGGAAAGCAGGTTAGTGGGGTGGGGAGGGAGTGGGGATTTTACAGTATCCTTCCCCTGCCACGCCCACCAAGCCACGCCCACACCACAGGTAGTAAAAAAATTTGAATCCCAACACTGGAGGCCACCCTGGAGCATACCAGTCAACACTGCTCTAATATTTTGGTTTCTTTTTAGATTGTACAGAGCATTCTCCTTTTACTGAAGATCCTTCCACGAAGAGGACAGAGGCATTTATTTGGTCTGTAAACTTTTATCCTATGTTAATTTGAAACTACTACACAATTCTTGTCTTTGAAATGAGATTCACAGCTGATCTCATGGAGGCTAACCCTCCAAGAATAATTTTCTTTTAAATTTAATTTTATTTGGTTTGTCAATTGCTTACAAGATAATAGGTATAAGTAAAAACATAGTTATGAATACATAGTTATGAATACATATAAGAAAGACACATCTAAAGCTGCTTCAGTAGGAACTGTGTTATTTCCTCCTAGAGATATTCACAAAGCAGGAAAATTATCAGACCAATTAAGATTATAATATAACAGTGGAATGTTTATGTGTTGAAGCTAATTAAGATTATTAGCTTCAACACGTAAACATTCCATTTTTGGCTACAAATGAACAATTAACAGGAAGATTGAGACAATGAAAAGCAATTCAGGAGAACTCCTAAAATCCTTGTTAAAAGCAAACAAACCTTCAACTATGGAACAATATCAGATCACACTTGTAATTTACAAAGTACAATGCAATGGTTTGATCCAATATTAAACTGAGCCTCAAATTAAACAAATCACATTATCCCACTTTTCAATCTGCAATTGTAATATTGACACTTTTGGTAGGCATTATTGCTTAGGGATGTTGGCAATGGATCCGTCACCTTGTCTTAACTTTGGACTGAGTCACTGTAATTTGAAATGGCCAAGTTTTTTTTGTTTTTCCACTGTTCATTGTGGAAAGTGTTTCATGTATAATCTATTTCTTTTTTTTTGTTTTTTGGTAAAGTGATATATAGAAAACTTAACCATAGCTTCATCACTGGAGGCTTTCAAGAAGAGATTGGACTGCCATTTGTCAGAAATGGTGTAGGGTCTCCTGCTTGGGTGGAGGGTTGGATGAGATGACCTACATGGTCCCTTCCAATTCTGTTAATCTGGCTAAATCTATGGGAAATTTGAATCAACTGTCCCCAAAGGCGCTTTTACCAATCAAGAATTTGCAAGGCTTGTCTTTTTGTTTCTCCTGTATTTCTCCCTGTTACCAAATGTAACTCCACGTGGTTTCAGAATGCTTTCTAATGCCCATATATTCTCTTAGAGGAAATGGCAGAAGAGATTAGCCAAGGCTTATCTTTAAAAGAATTTCAGTGAATCACAGAGCCAGGGAGAATTAATCATGTTACAGATTAACAGAGTTGGAAGGGACTTTGTAGGTCATATCTAGTCCAACCTCCCCACCCAAGCAGGGGACCCTACCCCATTTCTGACAGATGACGGTCCAGTCTCTTCTTGAAAGCTTCCAGGGATGAAGCTCCCACAACTTCCAAAGGTGACTGTTGATTATTGACAACCTGATTTAAAAAACCCATTTCATAACATATCTGCAACACAGGATGAATGTGTATTGACAGATCATTCTCCAGCTTCTGCTTAAATGCCTCCTATGAAGTAGAGGTGGTATTCAGCCAGTTCTGACCAGTTCTGGAGAACCGGTAGCAGAAATTTTGAGTA